CCGCCAGAGATGCTGGGCCTGGAGACACTGCTGATGCTGCCAGAGATGCCACCGCTGCCACCGGAGATGCCGGGCCGGGAGATGCTGGACTAGACGCTGCCAGAGACAGCAGGCTGGCAAAACTGAAACCCTCCAAGTTGGCCAGAGCCGCTCCGGAGCCGAACACCACGACCCCGGCCCCGGCCAAGAAGCTGGCACTCTCTGCCACAAAGGTGAAGCTGGGCTGCTCCCCGGAGCCTTCAGCAGACACTTTGTGCCTTCTGAGCTGGGGCTTGTGCTGGGGGCCAGCGCAGGGCTAACACTGGCTATCTCGGGCTGGAGTGGTTGCTCTGCCCTGGCTCTGGGTCAGGGTGTGGGGCCAGGCCCCCGATGGCCACATTCCTGAGTGAAGCCAGAGGAATGCTCTTCTGTTCTTTAACTTTCCTTTTTTCCTCTGTGCTTCTAACTGAAAATACTCCTGATTCTTCTACCACTCCCCTTTTCCCTCCCCCTGTCTGCGTCTTCCCCTCCCCTTGTCTGGGCTCCCCTTATTTTCTCCTCTCGGCTCAGGGAAACGTCTCTTCTTCTGACCCCCAAGTTTTTATTTGTGTCCCTAACTGCAGGACTGCAACCCGCAGAAGGAGAAGAGCAACCGCCACGCAAGGCCCCACCGAAAGCTCGCCGGTCACACCAAGTCCAGCTCCACTCACGGCAAGTCACGGTAAGCAGCGCCGGGCGCTCGGCCTTGGGATGCTCCAGAGGCGACTGTGGCTGGCTGGGGGGGTGCGATTTGGGCAGCCGGCTCTCCTCTTTGGGGCTTGCTCGGGATCCTGGAAGCAAGGCAGTTTCTCCCACTGGCAGCATGGAGTGGGGGAGAGCTTTGCAGGCTCTGACCGTCTGCTAGTGTCCCGTGGGATCAGGAGCCACCGGCCTGGCTCAGGTGTTGCTCTGGGTCTCCCTTCACCCTTGGCACATGCTGTGGCAGCTCTCGCTCTTTCCTAATCCGCCGTGGATTAGGAGAACCCGCCGGAGAGCAGGGTTTCGGTCGGATTTCGTGGCTGAGATGGTAGCGGGTGGGTGCTGTGCTTGTGCACCTGGGAAAAAGCGTTCCCACTCCTGACCTGGCCTTCACATCAGCCTCTTTCTCTGTCCTTCAGGCTGTCCTCATCTGCCCTCGAACTGGCGCATCCTAGAAAGCCTGTCGGCATCTCCACCTCAGCTCCCCAGCTCCCAGCCGTCCCACTGACCAACGGTTCCCCTGCCCGCCCGTCGCACCCCAGAAGCATGGAGAAGGGGCCCAGCTGTGTCACCTCCATTTCCTCCAAGAAGAGGCGGCAAAAGCACGAACGTGGAGCAGACAGGAGCTCTCATGCTCTGGTTGTGGAGGATGAAGACTCTGGCACCCCTAAGAAGGCTCTGGCACCGCTAAGAGGCAGTGGCTCGCGCTGGAGAACTTCCGGGCCCACACAGATAAGGCAGCAGGTGACGGTCCCAGCAGTGGCCAGTGGGGGATGGGCTGTCAGGACCTGCAGAGCTCGCCCAAGCAAGCGTCGGCCAGCAGAACTACCCTGGGCACGAAGCCCCTTGCCCCTCTCAAGAAGAAGAAGAGGAAAAGCGAGGAGATGGAGCGCGGCTCTGGGACACAGACCACGGGCAGGTGAGGGGCCGGGGGTCACACGAGAGCCGAAGCGCCGGCTTCCTGAGGCTGGTTCCACCCCTTCCCCTCCGCTCTGGCTGGAGCGAGCTGACTTTCTGCCTTCCCCAGCTCCAGGAGGGTTGACAAGGAGCCGAAGAAGTGGCGGGGCGCGGAGGCCGCAGACCGCAAGCACCGCAAGCGCCCGAAGAGGGAAAGCCACAGCAGATCAGTCCCGAAACAGCCGGCTGTCAACGGCATCCACACTGCAGACGGCACCCGAGGTATGACC